GCTCCGGTGTCTGGGAAGGTGTGTATCCATCCATGCTGCCTGATCTGCTCGGCTCTGCATTGCTGGTAAAGCTCCAGCCCCCTCTCTGAGGCAGCAGCAATGCCCTGATGTGGAAAAGAGCAGAAATGTCCTTATCAGAGGACAGTCATGGTGTGCACCTGGGGAGGTGTCTGTGCCCTGCTTGGGCTGAAGCTGCACCTCCTCAGGGCTGGGGAGTGCAGGCAGGTGGTGAACTGGCTCTGCAGCCTGACACATGTCCCAGGAGAGGCTGTGCTATGAAATGGAGTGGGCATAGAGGCAGCAGAGGAGGATCACTGAGGAACTGAGCTCCAAGGTTCTCTGGAACTTTCCTTCCTGAGAGACCTGTGCAGCTGGTTCCAGGGGGCCCTCATCTCCTGCCCCTCTTGCAAGTCACTGAAGCAGCAATTCCCTCCCCTCAGGCTGAGCAGTGCTTCCAGGGAGCATTCCTTTCTGCTGCATTTGAAATTACAGGCGCTGCTGGTCTGCTCTCTGATGACTCACATGTTGTGAAGGTTGCCAGATCCCCCAACATCTCCCTCGTGAGAGAGCCGCCAGCCCCGGGAGAGGGAACCTGAGAAGAAGAGGCTTGGTGGAACAGGGAAAGTAAAGTTGGTTTCTCAGCAGTGTAGTAGGCAGCTCCCAGCTCTTGTATGATTTATACACTAGGCCATAAACTGCCTTAATCCAGACTTCCATGACGTGGGGTTGGGATCAAAAGCTTGGGTCTCATTCTCCTCCCTGCTATTTTACTGATGCAGCTGCAGCGAGCCCAGCTCAGAGTGTGAATGTTCAGTGTTCTGCCCAACTGCTGGTTGAAAGGGGAGGCAAAGCCAGGACAAATGGTCTTCTGGGCCTCAAACTGAGACCTCACGTTGAGCTGCCTGTACACAGCAGCGCAGAGCCGGGCTCTGGGGCCGCTTCGCCACGCGGTGCTGCCGTTCATTATGTAGGCTGGGAGCGTGGGCTTGCCAGCTGGGGGAAATTAAGCTCCAGGCCCAGGGCTTTCTTCTACTGCGGCTGTTATTAGTCTGGATTGCAGCATGCTGACATGGTTATCCTGCTTTTGGAAATGAGCTAGCCTGCCTGGAGCGCGGGTGGGAAAGTCCGCACGGCGCTGTGCGGTACCCTGCAGTCCACAGACGTGAGGGGTCAGGAGTCTGTGGTTGTTTACTTCCTTTCTAAATATAAATTCAAGCAGGGGGTTGGCTTTTGTATTTGCAGTGCTCTTGCTCATGGGTCAGCTTTACTAATAATGGTGGTGCTTAGTGCAAGTGAAAGCAGAACGCAGGCTGTGGCCCCTGCTCCAAAAACAGGAGTGCATAAATTACAGCTGATTATTCCCCTGAGTTGTCATTATTAGTTAGTTCCCTCAGAAGAATTATGACAGAAATGGGTCATTAGAAGAATCCTGGAAAAACTGATTGCCTTTGCAGATGAGCTCTGGAGAGGTGTTTGATGGTTGATGGAGACAGAGCAGTGTGCATGAGGAGAGGTTTGCCCAACCCTCTGGAGTAAGAAGACGCAGCACTAGCCCAAAATGTGTCTGGCTTCTTACAGCATTCCTTGATTTAGTGCTTTTCACTCTGGTATTAAATGCTGAGATGTTGATATTTTATGCATACGTGAACATTGGTATGAGTCCACTCGTACCAGAGAGGCAAGATGAGTTCAGAGTGAAAATGCTCTGCAGCAAGAACTTCTGTTCCAAAACCTGCATGGAAAGGAGAGCCTGGTGGATGCGGTGCTAAAATTGGTCTTGGCAAAATTAGACTTTGTTCTTGAATCTTCGCAGACTTTTGTGTAACCGTGGGCAAGCTGCAGCCTCAGACACTCCCAGATATTAAGAGGTCTCACTGTTCCTCATGTCAGTGAGATGGGTGCCTAAACAGAAGGTGAGCACTTAGGCATTTTCAAGAATGTCAGCCCTAATCTCTTTTTCTTTTGTGCTTGATGGAGATGGCACAAAAGTAAACACTCTGAAGAGCACAGAGTGCTGAGACACCACGGTAATGAGGCCATTACTGAACCTGAGCATGTAATTAGATGGAAAATGTTTGCCTTCATAATGAATAGATGCTCTTACACATACATTCCTCAGTAAATCTTCGGGCTCATCCTTGCTGTAGCTCCACTAATTTCACTGTGTAACTGGGGATGGATTTTCTTTGGCAAAGTCATCAGGAGGGGAGAGCTCTCCATCAAGAAAAGCTGTGTTTTCTGATGAGATACCTAAAAAAATGCTGCCAAGAGCACAATGCAGGAAGGGAGAATCTTAAAATTTAGTTAGTGAGGCAGAATAACAGCTCAGCCTCGTATGTACCATCTCTGCAAAGCAAATTTCGGATGCTAAATATATGATCCACACCTACTCTTTTATTTCTGTTCAGGCAAGCTCGATTCTTTTGGCTGGTAAAATACACCCAGTGGAATAAACTTGAGGAGAATTAGCAGCCCGATTTAGTTGTCACTTGCACTGGTTTTGTGCTGGTGTTTTCTCGGGGGTGATTAGGGCTCCTGGTATTATCTCTGGCTTGAGAACAGTCTCCTTCCAGCCTGATCCAGATGATACACACAGAATCCCCACCCACCTTGGTATTGAACAAACAAGGCCTTGGTACAGAATTATGTAAAAATCTGAGATATATTAAAGAAAAGGCCAGCTTTTCTGACTTTTAACTCATTGCTGGTGTGCTGCTCATTTTTCCTCAAAGCCAGGTGTGTTATCCCTCATTTGCAAAAGTTGAGGCCTCAGTCAGGGATGTGACATCTCAGAGTTTACGACTGTAAGACACTCATCCATTCATTGCCTGCAAAATTAACTGGGACATGCTGAAACAGAATCCTGTGAGGTGTTTTAGCTGTGGCACTCGCTTTAGTGTTAACACCTAAATCATCTGTAATGGTATCACTGTCTGCTTGATCACTGCTGAGTTATGGCATCTGCTTTTTTGATTATGAATTGGTTGACTCCTTTGGGCACTGTTCAGATGAATGTGCCTGCAGTTAGGTGTGATGAATCCCACCTGAGCTGCCAGTACTGGTGAAAGTCAGAAGGAAGGATGACAGCAAGGTATACTAAGGCTAAAATCTAGACCTCAGTCTTCTCTGTCTTCTTAGAAAAAGAGATGCAGGCATGTATGGGGGACTTTTCCCTGAAATAGCATAGGGAGGTAATGTTGGGTTGGTTGTGAAAAGAAAGAAAAATTTTGAAGTTCAAACAGAGGACTGTACTAATTATCTGCTTGTTTGTATTTAAAAATCAGCCCAGTGGAATTCTTCCAATATTTTGAAATCCCTTTCTCAGAAGAAGAAAAAAACAAAAGAAAAAAAAAAAAAAAAGAATACCATTAAGAAAATCCATAAAACCTCTATTTCCAGGGAGTTCCCTGCAGTCTAGACCAGCAGCCAGGACTTACACATGAGGAATGCTTCAGTGCACATTGTGGTTTGTCAGTGCCAAGCACAGTGACATCCCTACAAATACTGTAGGAGTCGTGTCTGGTTTCACATTGAGTCAAGCAGGAACACGGGGTCGTCTCTTGGGCTTTGTGTTCCTGATGGGCCTGAAGTTCTTACAGATTTCAGTCCCTCAACACTGAATATTTAGGTGGAGATCAGTCCATCTTTCAATAAAGTGTTGTTTTTTTTTTTTTCCCTTCCCAGATGAAATCAGGAAACTGAATCAAATCTTTGCCTTTCTGTGTGACAAGTGGGTTTTTGCTGGCAAGATCCTCCTCATCCCCAGCGTTGTGCTGGGAGCCAAGCAGGCACCCCCAGCTAATGGCTGGGCTGAACTTTCCCTGCAGTAACTTGATAGCTGTACAGCTGTGCAGGCTCACAATTTGCTCCTTGATTGTCAGCCTCCTGACAGCTTTTTCAGTGGAACAGTTTGAGAGGAGCGGGAAGCCCTGCTTTGGAGACATGGAAGTGTTTTCACACCTGAAGTGCAATTTCACACCTTGTGTTGCTCAGTAGATAAGAGTGTAAAATAGCACATCAAACGGGAACAGAAGAGGATAGAAATGCTGCAGACAAGAGATGGAGGCTTGTTATTTATTTCCTATCTTCAGCACACTCTGAAATAATACTCACTTGCAGGAACCCGGGCACAGATTACGAAGGGGTTAGCAGGGGACTTGTCTACCCAAGCAATCTGTCACTGTCATGTGCAGAGCAAGGTGAAAAGTTACACTGAGCTGGGTCTGTGGAGCACTGGGAGCTCTGACACCACAGTATTAGCTACCACATAACAGAGGAGAACTGATTGATACACGAGGCAGCAGGAATTTAAAGAGTAGATTTACAGGAGCACTAAATTGGACCATCCCTTCCTTGTATTTGCTAAGTCTGTTTACCCCTTGTATTACACACTCCTTAAATTGTAAATAAAATTGACCTTGAGCCCACCAAAAAAGTAACATGAGAATTTGGAAAAAATATTAAACTGTCATGGGAGATCAAATAATTTCACTGTTTATGCAGGTTTTTTCCCCCCTCCTTTTCAAGACCCTTAATTTTTTGGTATCTTGAACAATAGATCATAGAGAGTGGTGGAGGGGCAAGGGAAGCCTGAGTAAGACAGCCCCAATGAGGCTTGATTGTGAGGGAGAGGAAGGGAAGGTGCAGACACCATTTGAAGTGGAGAATCCATGGAGATGCTCATGGAGTTTTGGTTAGTCTTAGACAGGTTTGCTAGGACTGGATAGCTGATATCCTGTTCTTTCCAAGAGAGTGGGGCTGAAACATGAGTCAGTTTTCTTTTCTCCCCAGCTGAATATGAGAAAATCCAAGAGGTGCTTTCATCTTCTGCTTCTCATCCCGTGGATTTTACCAAGGAGCGCCATCCAGCCCTCGTGTTATTCACTGCAGACTAAACTGCTCTACTTGGATGGTTTTGGGGGTGTTTTTTGACTGTCTGGGCCTTTCATTTAGCCTGTCACCTGCACCAAACGTGTAATCTCCTGTTTTTTTGGTCTTAGATACCTACGGGAAGCTCTGCCTGCGCAACTCCGTGGGTCAGGAGATGTCCCGCTGCAAGACCTCCATCCGCCGGGGCCAGCCCAACCCCGTCTACAAGGAAACCTTCATCTTCCAGGTCGCCCTGTTCCAGCTCTCTGACGTCACCCTGCTGATCTCCATCTACAACAGGCGCAGCATGAAGCGCAAGGAGATGATCGGCTGGATCTCCATGGGCCAGAGCAGCAGCGGGGAGGAGGAGCAGAGCCACTGGCAGGAAATGAGGGAGTCGCAGGGGACACAGGTCTGCAGGTGGCACACGCTGCTGGAGTCCTAGCGGGGACCAGGGCAGCCTGGGGCAAAGGGCTGGCTCCCCTTGCTGTCTGCCAGCAGGAAACAGCTCTGGCAGGGCACACAGCTTTAACCTGCCCGCTCAGTGCCAGCAGCCGTGGTTATCAAGGCTTGGGAAGAGAGTTTAGCTCTTGCCTTTCCGGCTTGCCCTGCGTTTTCTACATGCAGATAATTAACCCTAGTGAGAAGCAGTGGAAATACCTGCAAAATCCTTTCCTTGGTCACTGTCTTGCTCATTTTTCCATAGGTTTAATCACCACAGACTGATTCTGATGTGATGCTGTTTTCTTCTGGAGTAAACTCTCTCTCTTCCCTCTCTCCCCTTATTTATATTAATGAAGTTTGCAAATATTCTTGCCACGCAGATAGCTCACAGAAAAGCTAACCTGCATGCAGATCACATCCTCTCCCTTTTATTATTGTGTTTCTAAGTCCTAGAAATGAGCATTTGATACCACTGTAAACTGGATGATATATTTTTCAGGCAGCATGAGAAAGCACTCTTGAATTCTCTGTCAACTTTTAAGTGCCTAGACATTACTACTGTTCTTCTGTACTAAAAATTGATATAAGGACTAAATACTACTGGTATTTTTAATTAGGCACCCTGTGCACTTGTTAGCCTGCATTGACATAGGTTTGCACAAGAGATAACAAGCATCAGTTTTATATTGCATTATACAATGCATGTTTAGATGTTTACTTGAAGTTATGGCTTCTGTCATCACAAATACCAAAAAAAGACCAGAACAAACTGCACAGCCACCTTTGTGCCTGAATCACTCCTTTCTGCATCGTTTTGCCCATGTGTTAATATGACTTTTAGAAGTGAGGTTCATTCAGAAAAGCAATTCTGTGAGCATTACAGGAGAGAGCTCCAGATCCCTGGTGTTTCTGTGATTCAGCAAAGCACTACTCAGTTTTCTGTGGGATCTTCTGCAAATCTCCTGTGCTATCCTGTGATATCTCCTTGGGATGTGTAGGGGGACTGGTTTTGGCATGCTGAGCAGTAGAGGATGCCAGACCATGTCACCTAACCTTGGGAAGGAGCTCTCTTGCAGGCCAGGAATGGGATACAGAGGGGCTGCTGGCTCTGCTGAAGTGGAGAAAATAATTGTGCTTCCTGCCTCCAGCTGAAAGCAATGCAAGGAGCAGCCTTGCTGGATGAGGTGATGATGCTGTCACGTGGTTTCTTTTCAGACTACATTGTCCTTTTCCATTTTAATCTTTTTTCCTGTCTCTGTAAGCTGAAGTCATGGAGATGATGGATAGAGGATGTGTCTCAGTCTGCTGCTTGGCTAAGTGGTTGTTGCAGTGCTGTGTGTGACACAAAGGAGGATGTTCATCCTTAGTGGAATGCAGGCAGTGAGGTGCTGAGATCTCCAAATGCTATCAGCTGCCCAATCTCCTATTCTCCACACTCTCTAGGAGAGGACTGTCTTTTCTCCATTCCTGCTGATGACAGCAAGACACAGGAAATATTTTGCTGAAGAGCTTTGTTTGTACTGAATCCCTTCATGTTTTGGTTTTGCCATTTACTGACACCTGGCACCAAATTCTGCCTCCTCCTTCACCCACAGCCACTTCCTTCACTTCAATGGTGCTGTGGATATAAAACTAATGCAAATTTTGGCACTGGCTGTTTGACCAGAATTGGTCCTTGGTGCTGGTTTTTGTCCCATCCAGGCTAGACAGGCCCTGAGGGCAGTGCTGTCACACTCACAGGTTATCACTGGGTGTCACACAGAGGCTCTGTCTGTCCTCAGGAGGCAGACAGAATAATCTGCACAGAGAAGCACTGCTGGAACAGGTGATACAAGTTATTCTGCAGACCACGCTCTTGTATCTTCTTATCACCTGTCTGAGCATCATTTTTCCAGGGAGGCTGGTGGTTATCCTATGCAGGAGGGTTCTCCTCCACTGTCTAGATAAGCTGGCATGTCTGCTTTGCACTACTGGGGTTTTATAACACGAAGAAGGGTGTAACCCAAATGCAGCTCATCCAACAAATATGTTCTTGACTGCACTGCTAAAGCAATGCAAGAAAAAGTGAACATCTGAGTGGTAACCAGCCAAATGGAATTTCATTTATCATACACTTTCTTCCTGGGGAAAAATAAAAAAAAAAAAAAATAGGGGAAACAGCCCAATTCAAAAGGTGCATTTGCTGATTCCAGTTGTTTTCCAATGTCTCCATCTTTTTTGTCCTGAACTGCATAAAATGTATATGCAAGTAATTATAATTAATTTTATTACCTGGAATGTATGTGTGTGTAATAAATTTACTGAGATTCTCTTCAGAACCTTCTTGAACCTGCAAGGTCTTGCCTGTGCTTCATGATTAGCTAAGGAAAAAGTGTAAGTTCATAATACATGTCAGCAGTGAACTGGAGATAACCCAGTTTCATAACAGCATGATTAAAAAAAAAGAACCTAATGAAAAAGTTCATTTTAAAAAGCAATGAAGTACACTGTGTTTGGACTTCCATGCTGTTTTCACATTAAGATCTTTTCTGAAGATATGGCATTAAGGGAATTGAATTTTAGTATATAATTTCATTGTAGAGTTTTTGGAGTCAGAGAAAAGCAAGTGAAAATGGCTTATTTAGAGTAAGTTAATATCTAAGCAAGTGTTAAAACTTTGCTGTCCAAGGGAAGCAGGTTGCTGCATCCTTGCTGCCACATTTTACCCTTTTATTTTATCAGAAATTTTTGGAGGGAGGGAGCAAGGGCTGTGGCAGGGGGACCATTGTGCCAAAACCCTTGGCACATCCATGCCTTGAGAAGAGTTTTTGTGGGGTTCTTTATGTTCCTACTAAAGCAATGGAGAAATCTAGGAATCTTGGGATGAACAAGGTGCTGGGGGTACTTGTGCTTGCTAGGTATATTTTGGGATTTTTATTGCTTTTCTGGTTTATTTTTCCTTCCGTTATTGACTGTCTGTGAAATGGAGGCTTTGCAGCAGCTCTGGCATATTCCAAAGCTCCTCTAACTCTTCCCATTGACAGAGTGAATTAGTCACTGCTAATATTTATACAGGCTGGGCTTGTGCTCCTGGTCTTTCTTATGTAAACACCACTGCCCTTTTAGTCACTGCTTCAACCTCTTGTTTCCTTTGGAAGTGGCTGACAAGAATGATTTTCCAGGAAGTTTTCCATTCCTTGGGAATCCTGTCCTCACCTGACTTGCAGAGGGCTGGTAGACCTTGTGCTCCACTGGCCTTCTCCATGGGGATGCTGATGGCCTCTGCTTCTGTGGGGGTCCAGGTGGGGAGAGAGCTGTGAGAGGGCCATGGGGGTTTCAAGGAGCAGGATAGGAATGGATAACCTGGATCCAGGGTGCTTGGGCACTTGCAGGTCTAGATTATGGATGTTTCCTAATGCACTCATGTCTTCTAAGGTAATTCATTCCCTTTTGACACCACTGTTTGTAATCCCTTTATAGTTTATTTGAATTTTCTTTAATTTTTTTTAAAAAAGCCTGGAAATGTGGAAAGGGATTAACTACATTGGACCAGAGTATTATGGGCAAGTGCCCTAGATACATCTCTGTATCTTGAACAGCATCATTCAGTTGGTTGCAGTCTGTTTTTCCATTGTTCTCCTCAGCCAGCATGCCCCTGCCCTGCCAAGCTCTCTGCTGCTATTTTATTTTTTCTTTTTTAATGTTTATCGACAACAGAACAGAGTGATCTCACCGTGTTTATATTCCCCATAATAAACGGCGATCCTCAACTGATGCCCACAGAAATGAGTTCCTCCTTTAGCCCACTGAGCTGCAGCAATTGCTCACTGATGTGCCCATTTGCAAAGGCTTTATCTGGATGATCTTCTGCTTCCTTTGATTTGTCTGGGTTTCCTTTTTACCGGTGTCTTTAATTAGCTGGACCCTGCTGTGGCCTGCCCATTCCTGTTGCTCTGCCTTGTCTGCCTTTCCCTTCAGGGGCAGTGTGGGTTGTGCAGCTCCCGGGGTACATGGACAATGCTTGGGTGTATTTTTAGCAGCTGCAGATCCCGAGGAGTTATTTGGTGCTTTACACAGCCCACTGATCTTCAGTCATGGATGTCGTTAGAAGTTCCTGGATGCACAGATCCAAAGGCTTCCAGCTGCTATTGATCATTTTCCCAGCATAAAGCTGAAGGTGGCAGCTTGGCAGAGGAGCAGGCATTTCCTCTGGTGGCAGTTCATTTTCCCCTTCAGCTGGAGCTGGCAGTGACCTTGGAGCTGGCGTGCCTGCAGAGCTTGCTTTCCGCTCCCATATTTATCATCATTTTTAATCTGTGTGATCACAGCACTTCATCTCTGCCTCTCAGCTGCCTTCTGCCCTTCAGCACGAAAAGTTGACTGAAAGGCTGAGCAGAGAATATGGCCTTCTCCATCATATTATCCCCTCCCAGAGGGGTCATCTCAAAGCTGTGATGCTCCTGACCAAGTCCTTGCCTCCCTGCTCTCTTGTCCACTTGTAGAGTTTGAAGTTGGTTTGTTGGGCTGTGACATCTCAATATTTACAGAGTAGTGACACCCATTCACCTCAATGTGGACCAAGTTAATGGCAGAAGAAACAACCTGTTCTGTATTTGCTGTCTTCCTTTTCTCATGGGCATTGTGTTCTGCAAAAGGACAGCAGAGCCTGCAGGAATTAGTATGCAGGAACATCCTCTTTCCATTTAAAATGTGCTAAGTGTGATGTTTGCAGCTATGGTTTGAGGGGAAGAAACAAAGCAGCCAGGGTTTGTAGAGGAGCTCACACTTTGAATGAGGCAGGTTTTTCCCTCCAGCATGTGATACCCCAACAAATACATTCTCATATCCCAGGAAGCAGTGCTGGCTCTGAGCTCATCTGCTTCTGTGATACAAGCAGCCAGAAGCTGACAGATCCTAAAGCTTGGAAAAGCATCCAAGATAATTCCACAGAGCTGGTCTGGGTGTTTATTTGGGATCTGGTAAGGATTTAACAAGCTGTCATGCAAGAAATGAAAACCCCAAGCAGTGGTGGGAAGGTGGTGACGGGGGAGAGAGGCAGGAGGGGAAGGCTCTTGGTGTGCTCAGGC